CCAATTGGCCGGGAACAGGGAACCACGGCCAATGGGAGCTGCTGGAGGCGCTGCCTGAAGCAACATCAACACACAGCCCCTCGCCCCCCCTTCCCCATGTTCCAGCCTCTTCCCAGAGCGGGGCAGGGCAGGCAGGCAGGGAGCCAGCCCTGCCTCCAGGTAGGCGCTGGGCCAGATCCTGCCCCTGAACCCCTCCAGCAACTGAACCCCTGCTGCACCCTGACCCCCTGCCCTGAACCCCCTGCCTCACCCTGCACCCTGACCCCCAGCCCTGAATACGCTGCCACACCCTGCACCCCAACCCCCTGCCCTGAACACCCTGTCTCAACCCAACCCCTTCTGCATCCCAACCCACTGCCCTGAGCCCCCTGCCTCACCCTGCACCTCTCCTGCACCCCTACCCCCTGCCCTGAGCCCCCTGCTGCACCCTGACCCCCTACCCTGAACCCCCTGCCTCACCCCGCACCCCTCCTGCATCCTAACCCACTGCCCTGAGCCCCATGTCGCACCCCTCCGGCACCCTGCACCCCTCCTGCACCTTGACTCCCTGCCCTGAACCCCCTGCCTCACCACACGCCCCTCCTCATCCCAACCCACTGCCTTGAGCCCCATGCAGCACCCCTCCTGCACCCTGACCCCCTGCCCTGAGCCCCCCTGCCGCATCCCGCACCCCTCCTGCATCCCAATTCACTGCCCTGAGCCCCCTGCCCTGAGCACCCACCACACCCCACACCTCTCCTGCACCCCCAGGGGGCAGAGTTGGGGGTGGGGATTTCGGGGAAGGGGTTGGAATGGGGGCAGGGAAGGGGTGGGAAGAGGCGGGGCAGGGGTGGGGCCTCATGGAAGGGGTGGAGTGGGGGCGGGGCCGAGGGCGGAAGGTGTCAGTAATGCGGCCCTCAGGCCAATGTACTAGTCCTCATGTGGCCCTCATGGTCATTTGAGTTTGAGACCCCTGAGCTAGAGCAACCAATTCTGAGGCGGGGGAGGGAGATTGCACAGCAGTCTCTCCATGTACCCCTCGCAGCAGCAGCCCGCTCTGCCAGGGAGAGCAACATTCCGTATTAATGGTTCTGATTCCCTCCGAGTTCTCCTACAGCCTCCCCTTTTTGAAGTTAAATGCTACTGTGGTGGACTTTTTTGGTATTTCCCCCCAACAAGGATGTTAAATGTAATTACATCATGGTCGCTATTACCGAGGAATTCAGCTATATTCACCTCTTGGACCAGATCATGTGTTCCATTTAGGACTAAATCAAGAATAGCCTCTTCCCTTGTGGGTTCCAGGACTAGCAGCTCCAAAAAGCAGTTATTAATGGTTTTTAGAAATTTTATCTCTGCATCCCATCCTGAGATGACATAGAATCGTAGGACAGGAAGGGAACTCGAGAGGTCATCTAGTCCAGTCCCCTGCACTCATGGCAGGACTAAGTATTAGCTAGATCATCCCTAACGTGTTTTGTTTAACTGTTCTTAAAAATCTCCAATGATGGAGATTCCACAACCTCCCTGGGCAATTTATTCCAGTGCTTATCCACCCTGACAGTTAAGGAAGATTTTCCTAATGTCCATCCTAAATCACTTTTATTGCAATTTAAGACCATTGCATCTTGTCAGTGGTTAAGGAGAACAATTTTTCTCCCTCCTTCTTGTAACAAACTTTTATGTACTTGAAAACTGTTATCATGTCCCCTCTCAGTCTTCTCTTCTCCAGACTAAACAAACCCCATAGGTCATGTTGAGATGACATGCACCTAGGCACTATGAGGATAGTTTAGTCTGGAGAAGAGTTACTGAGTTTTCTGTATTTTTTATTTTCAATGTCAGCTGTTAAATCTCTGCTTATTAAAGCATTGAACATGTCTGTATCAGTGTTAGAGGGGAGAAAGTGCCTTTTTCTTGAATTTTTTCTCTGAGAAAAATATTCCCTATGTATTCAAATGTGTAATGAAGTGTCACATTCTCCTCCCCATTCACCAGGAGCAATGTGGGTGATAGGTTTTCACACAGAAGGTTCCCTGACAAGATATTTCCAAGTCAGGCTCAGGAGGGTGGAAGTGGGAGAGAATCCCAGAGATGTGTGAAGAGAAAATGGGAATGATTCACCCACAAGCTGCCCAGCCACAGACACTGTGACAGGTCATGTTAAAACCTGTTATGTCAGCTGGGAAAAGGGCCACATGAGGGCAGTTGTTTTAAGATTCACTAGAGGATTTGCCAGCGGGGAGGCTGTAGGTCACATGCGGAGGCCAGGATGTCACTGGGGTCTAGCCAGGGACTGCAGTAGGGGGAGTCTGGCACTTGGTTAAAATGAAACTGGAAAAAAAAACTCGTTTCAGCAAAAGACTTGTGTTTGTGTTTGTCACTGAGGCCCCTCCCAGACTTAATCCTCTTCTGTGAAAATCTCCATCTGTCCTGGAGCTCAGAGAGACAACCCCCTCCCTCCCTGCAGATTTTCAGGTTTTGCTCATTTTTCTTGGTCTTGCACAAATATTTTTGTGATCGCAACAATCAGAGAAATTTAAAGAAGAAAAAAGAAACCCCTCTGTGACGGGTTGGATCACAGAAACCCCCTTGGAGCTGCCAATTGATGTGCCCAGACTACTTCTGCCCCTGCTTTCCTGCCCTGGCAGCTTGGGACTTCAGTCCCCTGCCTGGTTTGAGCCAGACCCGCTAGCTTGCTGCAAACCCAGACCCAGGTCTGAACCACGTCCCCTAACAGTTGTAGGCTTAATTGAAAGCAGCTTAAGAAGTGTTCCTGTCTTTAACACTCAGATGCCCAACTCCCAATGGGGTCCAAACCCCAAATAAATCCGTTTTACCCTGTATAAAGCTTATACGGGGTAAACTCATAAATTGTTCGCCCTCTATAACACTGATAGAGAGAGATGCACAGCTGTTTGCCCCCACAAGTATTAATACATACTCTGGGTTAATAAGTAAAAAGTGATTTTATTAAATACAGAAAGTAGGATTTAAGTGGTTCCAAGTAATAGCAGATAGAACAAAGTGAATTATCAAGCAAAATAAAATAAAACACGCAAGTCTATGCCTAATACAGTAAGAAAACTGAATACAGATAAAACCTCACCCTCAGAGGTGTTCCAGTAAGCTTCCTTTTACAGACTAGCCTCCTTCTAGTCTGGGTCCAGCAATCACCCACACACCCCCTGTAGTTACTGTCCTCTGTTCCAGTTTCTCTCAGGTATCTTTGGGGGTGGATAGGCTATCTCTTGAGCCAGCTGAAGACCAAATGGAGGGGTCTCCCAGGGGTTTAAATAGACTTTCTCTTGTGGGTGGATACCCCTCCCTTCCCCTGTGTAGAATTCCAGCTACAAGATGGAGTTTTGGAGTCACATGGGCAAGTCACATGTCCATACACGACTCAGAACTTACAGGTAGCAGCCATGGTTCACATGCTACCTTGAACGTCCTCATGTAGACTTCTTATGTGGATTGGAGCCTTCCAAGATCCATTGTCCGTTAAGTGCTTCTTGGTTGGGCACTTAACTTGCAAATTCCTTTCTAAAGAAGATGACCAAATGCCTTACTAAGATTATTTAAGTATACAGCCAATATTCCTAACTTTGAATACAACAATGACACATGCATACGAATAGGATGAATGTATTCAGTAGATCATAACCTTTATATAGATATGTTACATGGCATATGTAGCATAAAACATATTCCAGTTATGTCATATATACATTCATAAGCATATTTCCATAAAGTCTTATGGAGTGCAACGTCACACCCTCTTCTACAGTGGATTTGTTTTCACTGAAACGTCTAGCCACTAAAGTTCAGCACTGCACTGGCCAGGAATCAAACCATTGCTTTCTGAATGCCAGGGGAACGTCAGCACTGAACCACCAATGCTGTAATTATGCTGCTTGACTATTTCCAGCTCTTCATTGCTCAGTATTCCATGCAGATTTACTTTTTAGCTAAAATTTCCCCTGTGGGGCCTCAGCCAAGACATGTTTCATTCTCCCCTTTCCAGAGGCAGCTAAATCCCTTGAAACCCTTTTGAATTTGCCATGCACCTGAGGAGCCCCTTTTGGCCTCTGAGTAAAACATGAAAAGGAAAGAAATGCGTTGCCCACCCTCACTGAAGTGTGAATTCAGCACCTGCAGGTCATGAGACTGACACTGTACAGCACTGAGCTGGTTCTGTGGTGTCATGGTGTGCATCCTGGTCTATGAATTCAGAGAGCTAAGCTCAACTCTCACTGCCTGGATTTCTGCCTGGACTTAATTCAGTTTTAAATAAAAGCGCCCAGGAATCAGTGATCCACACTTTGTAATCCCCATCCCTGTCCCAAAAATCACTGAAAATACCTGCCAAAATGATGGGGGAGCGACAATGACTCCAGAGTTAAGGTGGATGGATCTGATCAGTTATTGAGCACGCTGAGTCTCTATAGATTGCTTTTTAAAAGATTGAATGGATTGCATTTTATTTGAAATTATTAATTCACAAAATAAATGAAGGTCTTTTTATTTTATAATAGGTGAATATTATTACACTTGGATATTTTTCAGCATCTTCATTATTGATAGGACAATCAATCAGCTCTGTCTTTATCATCAGATCCCCCTGGAAAGAGAAGCCCAGTTCTCAGGTGTCTCTGAGTCCCTGTGAGAGGATCAGCCACTTTGTCTAGGGACATTTCCTATGTATCAGTATCAACAGATTCAAGCAGCAGCTGTCCATAGTGGGAGAAAATTCAGGGGCAGAATTGCAGTTTGAACCTGGCTCAATTGTTTGCAAAGCAGCACTTTGCCTCATTACACCAGCACAGGGACCTGCTCTGTATTGCCTGGGCTTGAGGTTAAATTCTCCCCTGGGATGTGTTAAATCCCTCGTAGGCTAAATGAGTTAGCTCTCATTGAATGTTCCCTTGTTCTTGCATTAAGAAGAGAGCAGCAGATCACTTTGATATTATTTTATTTAATGTCACTCTGGACATTTTCATTATTCCTGTAACTGTCTGCTCTTTTCCCTGAACTGGGCTGAAGTCTCAGGCCTCAGTAACGCACTGGAGCAGGGAGTTAAACAGGTTCATGTTCACCAGGGATTCACCCACCTGATACAAAGTGTGCAAGGAGTGTGCATATTCAAGGCTGTTTCTCCTTGAAGTGGGCTCTGGATTCTCCTTTTCTTTTTCTTTTCATTAAGAAGTCAGCTGAGGCTTCACACCAGCTGCTAGGATGTATTTTTTTAGCATCAGAGGGTCCTGTGGCACCTTTGAGACTAACAGAAGTACTGGGAGCATAAGCTTTCGTGGGTAAGAACCTCACTTCTTCAGATGCAAGTAATGGAAATCTCCAGAGGCAGGTATATATCAGTGTGGAGATAACGAGGTTAGTTCAATCAGGGAGGGTGAGGTGCTCTGCTAGCAGTTGAGGTGTAGAACACCAAGGGAGGAGAAACTCTTTCTGTAGTTGGATAGCCATTCACAGTCTTTGTTTAATCCTGATCTGATGGTGTCAAATTTGCAGATGAACTGAAGCTCAGC